CTGTACTTGTGGCATAGTTAGGTTTCTAAATCTGTAACATCTGACAGTTAGCTTATAACAATTTAGATATTTATGACTTAAGAGCAGCTTGGACAGCTGTGAGTGACCCAAGGTTTAAATATGTTTAATTTTAAAGGATGCAAACCAAACTGATTTGCAAAGAGAAATACAGCACGGAAGAGTTTTATTGTGTTTTTGTCTTTTAAGAGCTCATTCTTTTGGTTTTCCAGCCAGAAAACTCCACTCTCATCAATCTTGTTTCCAGCATCTGCAGGCAGCTGTTTCCAGCAAAGAATTAGGGACTAGAGCTGGTGAACAACATTTAGCAGCTAAAGAGAAGCAGAGATATTTTCCTTAGGAGTTAGTGGAGATTAAAACAGAGCTAACATGAGAGTGAGTATTCGGCATAGATTCCTCCGCTAGACAGAAACTAAACTGCAGAAGAATGATAATGTTGCTCCAACTGTTTTTCAATACAACTTTATATGGCAATTATATTTTGTGTGATGTTTTCTGCTTGTTCTGCTGGCCACAAGCGACCAAAATAATTAAGTTAATGCATGTATAACAGGAGAAAAGCATGTAAAAACAAGATTGGGTAGCGAATTCACTAAGAAATGGATTGCAGCCACTGATTGCACCATGAATAGCGCATTACTTGCAGCCCCTTTTTGCCCTCTGTCAAGGTCAGATTCACAAAAAGATGCACTAATGATATTGCAGTCCACACATGCCCATCAAGTTTTGCAGCTGAGTGCAGTTTTCTCTTGTTTTGCGGCTATTAAATGTTCATCAGCAATTTTCTGTAGTGGGTCCAGTAATATTTGTTCTTAAGTGTACTGAAGCACCATAGTTAATCAACATTTGAGTTCAAAAAAATTTTTGTTCCTGCAATTTCCACTCATATCTTAAAATGTTTGATTTGAAAGAGAACTTATTGCAATTATAATTATAACTATTTTAATTATTTATTAACTCCCCCTGCTCTTTCATTCGTTTTTATCTGCAGGATGTCTCTCGTTAATCTTTGACTCACTGAGTGTTTTCCCAGAGTGATTGTTATTTGGGGTGCACTCTCCCTCAAGCCTCTCTGCACATGCAGAGCTGTGTTCTCTGCAGTGGTTAAGTTTCTCACAGCAGTTTTACAGTTTAATTCCCTCATGGTGAATATTGTACTGTTTCTGCCATCTGTGCATATACAATGTACTGTGATGCTACTGTGATACTATTGCTTCACCTGGTTACAATCTGCTGCCATGATCCCTGGAAAGTATGACATAACACTCCTTATGAATGCATTTCAGCTACCACCAACTCTCAGAAGATGTAAATAATATCACTCTAACTGCGTGTGGGTATTTGCGTTGGTATTAGAGAATTGGACTTTTTTTGCAATCAGGCTCATTTGCATAGAAGGGAGGCAGTTTGCACCAAATGTATACACATTACCTAATTCAAATATGTGGAAAAAGCACCAGAGCACCAGGTCGCCATTTGCTTGGCAGCACATTTGGTTACACAGCACGCATAACCAGTGTGTGATAGCTGCTTCGCTTAACTGCTGCAGTTCACACACCAGTGGTGTCCACACAGAACGTTTCTCCTATTGCACTGCTGCTGCCAACCCTATCTTCCAACACTGAGTTTTCCTTCTATGCACAGAAACACTAGAGAGCTTTTAATCTCAAACAGATACAACAGATCAAGATCAGATTTTTATATTCAACAGTTACAGACCTGGAAAGCATATATGTTGCTGGTATAATGTAAATATTCCATTCAGTGACTACTTTCACTGTCTTTTTTTTTCTAGGAACTGCTCATGGAAAAAATAGATGAGACCTCTACTTTGTAATGAAGCGCCACTGCAGCTGCGCCTGAGACAAGCATGAGACGTGCGGCGCCTAACCTGTTAACAGGGGCGGCAAAATAAAAAGCAAGCATTCAATGATGCACACTCGCTGCAGACACGTGCAGTGCGCCCAAGGTGTAAAAGTTGCATTCCACCCTGTGTGGGATATTTGTGAATTTCATGCTTTCTTTTTTGGTGTGGCATTGAAAAATATGTTAGCCATTGATGATTGATGACAAACTTTTCACCTTTCACATTTTTTCACCTAGATTTTGAACGAGTACAGTAAGTGCTTTTATATTTATGCCTCCACATCTAAAGTGTCACATTTGATGCCTTAAATGCTGCAATCAGTGGTTTCAAGAAAACTGTCAATATTGGGTAAACCCTGTGCCAGCACAATGTCTTACAAAGCATAAACCAACTCAGCTGCAGCGCTGTGCTGTGGCTTTTTACAAGACATCACATGGGTGATGTCTTGTTTAAAAACCCCTTACCCCCAAACCAAAGTCACTGGCCACTGACAGTTAAATGTTGCCCTATTGTAAACCCTACTTTTAAATTACTTTAATTTATCTAATTCATCATGTAACTTTTTATTGCTCTGTGCAGTGGACAGCCCAGCAGCACACATGAACAGAAGAGGAAGAGGAAAAGGAAGAGGAGGAAAAGAGCATAGAGTGCCTTGAGATTTGGCTCAAATATAAACAAAGTCAAAGTCAATACAATGCATTAGCATCATTAAATTAAAACTGAACTAGGTCACAACACGGGCTTGTTTCCCAGGTTAATGAAGGCTGAGCCCTGTCCAATATTTATTTGTGTCTGGCGGGCCTGTATGTATCCAACAAGGCTCGATGTGACATTTTCAAAAATCAATAACTTGGTGGGTCAGGTTTTTGTCTCAGTTGCGGCAGCGAGACAGCTGAATAAGGAGTGTTGACAGCTACTCCTGTAAATCTCACAATTTATGAATCCAGTAGTGCTGCTGACTGAATGAACACACGCATACACACAATAACACACATTAATCTTTTTCTACATTCTTCTGTCTGCCCCACTTCATACAGATATTACACCTCTGTGCCACTGCCCCTCTGAATATTAAGGTGAGCAGGGATGACAACATCCTGTTTGCTGCATATCTTTCTTGTTCCTTCTGTGATTAAGACACTTGCTGATATCATTAGCCGAAGAGCCGGCACTACAGCCCCTCTCACCTCTACTATATTTCCACTAGACAACTTGTTACAAATCAGGAAGAAGGAAACACTGGTGTTCTGTATAATATGCTTATTTAAACAAAGCCATCATAGCCTGGCTGGTCTGGGACCAGAGAAGAGCCCGTGGTGAGATGGTGTCCCACACCGGTCCTCCAGGCTGGATGTGAAAGCCCGATCGACAGCAAAGCAAATGGACATATAAATAAATTAACACCATTAAAAATGCACCACACATACATGTGCATAAATAAGTGAAAACATAGTTTGGCAAAACACAGGCGAATGTTTTCTTATTAAATAAATATAAAACCATGTTTTAATTATTCATGTAGACACGCCCCCACACCTCACTACCCATTAAAATACACAGATGCTGTCTTTATTTTCCTCTGCCGATTTTTTCCTGGGAGTGTTTCATTCATTGGTCAATCTGACAGGAAACTGGACACTCCCATCATCTGTCACGCAGCCAGTAACTTTATGCCTAGTGTCCAGTTAGAGATCTTCACCATGCGCTGCAATCGATATTTTTGGGGGGAACAGGCTCAGGGAATAGCTCTTGGCGCTGTTAAGAGTTTTAAATCAATGCAGCTGCAGAAAGTACAATCCTCTGCTTTATTTAGACAGAGTAGCTTGGTGAGAATTTTCCATTCCCCCTCCGCAGCTCTCACAAGCCCAAAAAAACTTTCTTCTTTCTTTAACTTTGCTCGCCAATGTACCAAATTCATGTATTTCTCAATGCAAAGCTCCAAGTGGCTCTGTTACATCAATAAACCATTAGCACATATAAATTAAATAACTGTTAACAAACAAGATTATTGGCCCCAACACTACTTTTTGGATTTTGTGGCAGCGACTGGGACTTGGACAGGAATGTTGTGAACTGCACTATTCATCTAAAGCAAACAGAGCGAATGCTGTTTGAGGTTCTGGCACTGGCAGATGATACAAAGAGTGAAATGCAGAATGTAAAATAATGTTTATCCTCCTCAGTAAAACAAACAGTAAAAACCTCAGACTGAAGAATCAACAAGAAACAACAGGGTTTATGTGGTTGGAATTTTAAATAAACGCTAGAGTGATACAGAGACATTGTTTATTAAAGGTCCAGACTGAAAGATTAGGAGGATAAGGAGGATCTATTGGCAGAATATGGCAGGAATGGAATATAAAAAGTATATAAAGTATACTTTCATTAGTTTATGTCACCTGAAAATAAGAATTGTTGTTTTTTTGTTCTGATCTGCCATGTTTCTACAGTAGATGCAGTTTCTCCTACACACTTGGAAGGGGATGGTGAGTGGAGGGGTTACCAGTTGATTGCAATCTGCAACCTCACCACTAGATGCCACTAAATCCTACACACTGGACCTTTAATAAACTGTAATTATATAAAGGGATGTCTGGCATTTTGGGAAATATGCTTACTTGCTATCTTGCAAAGATGGATAGATGAGAAGATTGATACCACTTTCATGTGTACACGGTAACAAAAAAAAAGGTAGAGCCAGCAAACAATTAGCATAGCTTAGCATAAATACTGGAAACTGGCTCTGTCCAAAGTGTTAAAATGTTGCATTTGGTTAGTTTAATCAGAATGGAAACGGACGGAAATGTAAAAAGTCACAATTTGTCGTTTTTAAAATGAGTTATGTGCCAGACTATTTCTTAGCCAGGCCTGTGTCTACCTAGTGTCTTTAGGCTAAGCTAAGCTAACATCATGTTTAGCCTTCAGACATGAGAGTGGTATCATTCTTCTCATCACATTCTGAGCAAGAAAGTGAAGTAGTATGTCCCAGACTGTTGAACTGTTCCTGTAGTTCTGTAGATAGCACCTCCACTTCATATTTTGTTGTTACTGTGGCACATCTTCAATGAGTACCATAACGAACTAACAGTAATGAATAAAAAGAGATGGCACTCACCTCTATGAGTTTGCGTTCATAGCTGGCAGCCAGCTCCTCGATGTCACCCATGAACTTATTCTGCGGGACAGGGGCTTGCTCTTCACTTGACCGCAATACTGACAGAGCTGCAGTAAAAAGAGAGAGAAAGCACAGCTACGTTTACACAAACGTACAGATGCTGTGACATGTCACAAACACACACTGCAAGGAAAAAGTCTTTTTACAACCAATTATAAATGGTGGGTTCCTGCCAATTATGCACATCTTGTCGTCCTCTGTAGCAAGTTGTGACACCTGCGTCTGTTTGATGCTCTTGTTTTAGCTTCCAGAGAACAATACACAGGGAGCAGCAGATCTATTAAATATACACATTACCAGCCAGGCAAGAGCCATGAATCTCCATTTTATTTAATTAATGGCGCACACTAAAGTAGATATGAGACACAATATATAAAAGAAATGAACAATCATATAGGGAGAGGCCTACAAACACACACCCACAGGAAGACACACAAATACGTGCATGCACACTTTCTTGTATGTACATTATAAAATGCTGTAGGGCACACACATTTTTCCCTCTGAGAAAACCTCTTACACTTCTGTCAAAATGATAAACTCCCGTTCGCTCACCATCGTCTGTTTTGCTCTCACTTCCTGTTCAGGCAGAGCTTATTGTTTCTTTGCACTACTGTCGCTCGCTAACCAGCTAAAGTCGGAGCCTAAAGCGCTTCTGAGCCCGTAAACATCAACTAATCGGGTTCCCTCAGCAAAGAATGGCAGAACTTAGAAGAAGTGGGAGCTCTGTATTTTTTTTTTCTTTCTTTTGCAGAGGGGCGGTTGGGAGACGGATTGTTTTTTTCACCTCAGCAAAAGCAAATTAACGCTGTTATTTCACTGCCACCGCACACAGCTAACACCTAGACAAACACAGTGAGGCTAAGAGCTGGGAGAGACAAGGAGAGAGAGGAAATTAAGTACAGAGATAAAAAATTGAGCATGTACAAAGGCTGTACAGAGCTCAAATAAACTTGTGGTGAAGGCACTTCAGGGAGGAGTTTTAGAAAACATACAGTTGGACTGTGATTAGAAAAAGAGTGAACCCCCAGCAATGTCCGAATGTCTAGACAGAGTGAGGCAGGTATTGATGAGGCAGGCAGGCTCATTGTAGTTACAAATAGACTGGGCAGAAGGGAAAAAAGCTACGGAGAATCACTAGCAGGTAACAGGTACGAAAATCAGAGAGCACGGATGGATAAAGTCCGCCCAGTAGACTGTGTGTATACACACATACACACACACACACACAGAGTCAGATTGGTGTTCTGTTGAGAGTTTTTGTCCATTTGTCAATTCATTACATATTATATCTCAGACAATGAGGCACAGGGTACCATGGTGGTTAAGTGCTTTACTCAAAGACATCTTGGCAATACTTGCAGTACAGCTGGATCAAATTACAGTAATGGAAATCATTAGCCAAGAACCAAAATCTCAGCTCTCCATAATTGCACTTCAACTCCTGTGTGGCTTAGGACGGCTCTCTCATTTTCTATTGCAACCATTTGATAAAGGTAAGGTATTAAACATGCTAAAGTGGCCTTTCATGAAAGTGGTATAGATGGTCCTTCCTATGTGAAAGGAAGTATGTTCTCTTTATATTTAGAAAATTCAATAAGGTCTTAGAATAGCAGCCATCGACATACTCTTGGATCAGTCGACAATCTTACGTTGGCCGTTCTTTTTCTTTCAGACTGAACATACACATAGCCAAACAGAGACCGACATATTGCACAAAGAAATGTATCAGCAACAAAGAAAAGATGATGAGAACGTACCCAGTCTGGATAACTGTAGTAGATGAAGTATTGTCACGCACTTGATACAGCCATACTGTAGATCAGGAAAGTGCCACAAGGGCATATGTACATTTACAACGTTCAAATTAGCAAGTCCACCTGTGCATTTTTGTAAATAATAAAGATAATGACTTATTCAAAGCAAATGACTGGATATGAATTATGAGTTCTTAATAAAAACTTCCAGGTGTTGAGTCACCAATAACCTGCTTCTCTGACCTTTTACATCTTCGTTAAATCATGTTTCAGTTGTTGTTTAAATTGTTTATTTTGTCTGAACGATGATTAAAATACCCACAGAGAGATTATGTTTGTAATGATAAGAGATGAAGTGAATCTGCATAACGTCATATTTGGTATTTTAATTTAATTAATTACTTAAATTGAAGACAATTTTTTAAATTAGTAATCAGCTCATTGATTAATTTCTTCACTATTTATTTAGACCCCTCAATAGAATAAAAACACAAGCTCACAGATACACATAGAGCACAGATACAGACCTCAAACTAAAACAACAAAGTTCTGTCACGCTACAACCTACAATTACTGGCACAGCAAGAGAGTTACACACAAACCAGCCCACACACGTATAGAAGGTTGGATATACACATGAACTCTCTTGCTCTCTCTCACACACA